TTTTTTTTTTTTTTTTTGGTACATAAGTGTAAATACTTGCTGCAGCATTTAATATGTTTAAATTTATGTTAAGCTTTTTGTTGCATTGTGAACCCATTATTGTTACAAATGGACAATGAGTTCATTGAGACTGTTCAACTAGGTCAGATTTTTACATCTCTTTCTAGCTAGAAGAGACAGGAATTTTGTGCATTTGTACAAATGTTAATAATATCACTGCAATTCCAGTATAATAAAGCACTCAAATACAAATAGTTCCAGTAGTTTGGCTGTGTCTATACCCCAAACAGTACAGATACCTCCTGCAATTAAACCAAGCTACTCTTCAGTGATGTCTATTCTGAACTGCAATCCCTCATCTCCCCCGAGATCAGAGGAGGACCACGGTGCTGGGCGTCCTCCTGCCTGGCCATGGGTGCGAGGGGCTGTGCAGACCTTACAGCCCACCTTTGCCCTCCAGCAGCCCCGGTGACTTTGCAAGAACAAGTTCTCTGAACCTTTTCCAAGCAGGGAAGCTGCAAAGCCTCAAACAAAACGACTTACATGGTGGAGCCTGACGTGAGGCCTCCGCATAAGGATGAGACAAGCTGTTATTTTACTTTTCCTTGCAGCTGGAGTGTGCTTATATCAAAATACACTCTATGCTTGTTATCCCGCCAACCTTGCCTCTTGCCAAAAGCTGCCTGGAAATGGATTTCCTGCTGGGCTAATTAGCTCTAATTGTGATGCCCCTGTTATCTTGCCAGCCTCATTTCTCACTATAAATTGGTCCAATACAGACCTTGGCACAATAATGGGTAAACTGTAATCTAAAGTTAGTCAGGATGAACCCATCTCCCCAGTGGGAAAGCCAGCTTTGGATTGAGGCAGCTTGATGACCTTGCTGGCAGCCCCAGAGCGATGGCCCGACCCGACAGGGGCCCGAGATCTGAGAGGTGCAGCCTGGGCTACAGGGACCAGCCCGGTCACAAGCGCTCGGTCCCAGGGTCATGGTGCAGGAGACAGGCCCCGTGCGGCACGACCGTGCTTCTCCCTTGGAGGCCCTGGCACGGGCACAGCTTCTGCTGCCTGCTCTCCCCCTGGTTTTCGAAAGGCTAAATCCGGCCAAGAGCGCTCACCCTCCTAAAATGGGTAGGAAAAAGGCAGAGCCGTGCCCCTGTTGCCATTCTGCCTTTGTAGAAGTTGGAAGATGGGGCAGTGGGCACACATGGATCCCTCTTTAAGGGGGTACAGCTGATGTTTTCCCCAAACACCAAGGCATGGCATTAGCAGGAGCCATTTCTGAGGCCGCACACTCCTGGGTTGCCTTTAAAGCAGGGCTGTCCTGCCACAGCTTAACCTGCATTTATACAGCAGGGCTCTTGCTCTGGGACCAAATACTGAAAGAGGATCATCATATCTGTAAAAATAGATGCCTCCCATGAAGGCATATCACAGGACTATTTTATTGTCCACACAGTTATATTTACACCTGACAGTATGAGCTAAGCAAGATGTATTCAGGCTGAGGTAACGCTGTCCTTTACAGCTGATTCATGGTTTCCCAAACCTGATTGCAGTATTTGTTCCCCTTCCAAGCAGTCCACTGTTACTATTGCTCTCTCCGGGCTGCTCTGGACATCATAACAAAGTTATTATTAGAGGAAAAATGAATCAGTGTGAGCACACGCTCCTTCCCCTCTCCTTTGCAGGGATTCAGCCAGAGCTAGGCTGAGCTGAGGACACTCTGCATCAGCGAGAGGGTTGCTCCAGCTTACATCAGTTGGAGCAGTGGTGCAGAGAGACTCCTTCCCCTTGCCAAACCAGCCCCTCATGCTTTGGCTGGACCCACTTTGCCTCTCAGCCTCCCCCCAGCTTTCTCCCGAACCCGGCAAACCCAGGCTGCAGCCTCAGTTACTTGCTGTAAGGGCAATCAACACTAACGGCAACGTAGCACAGAGTTTGGGTAGGGATGATAAGCTAACGCAGAGGGCACCGTACGTTCCTAAAGGCACTGGCACACAGCAGGCAGCATAACAGATCAGGCATGACCACCTGGAAAAAGCAGATACCTCCCAAAAAAAGGGGTGTGGGACTAGAGGGGGTCAAACCTGAAGGAACCCCAACATAAACAGGGGCAAGAGCTGAGAAACTGGAAGTGGTCTTGTGTTAAAGAAACCTTTCAGCACAAGGATGGAGAAGCAGGCAGACTGGAGTGCTTTTTTTGTTAGTTTCGGGGTGACTTTTAAAAAATACTGGGATGGAGTGAACACTGAACATGCAAGGATGCAAAGCTCTCAAATGTAACACTGACTCTCGGCATAAAATGATGGAAGCGAGTCTGAGTTCCTCCTGGGGAATCTTCTCACAGGCTGCACTTGGGGACAGTCTCAGAAATAAGGTGGTTGATCCTGGTCCCCCCATCAGCAACCCCTGCCACCCACAGACTTAGCAAAGACTTGCAGTACAGCCCTATCTTTTAGCTCTCCCTGGCCACCCTGGAGCCAGCGCTGCCGCACTGAAGATGGCAGGCAATGGGCTGGTTTAGAGGGAAAACCAGTTTTTCTCCCCACAATAGCTACTGGCTGCTGAGGCCCCTCTACAGGAGATTCCAGCTCAGGGACCAACCCCAGAACTACCCTGTTGCACCCACCTTCTTTACAGAAAGGTGTTACTCACAGTCATTTGAGAGCTTGGCCCACAGGGAATAGGCACAAGATTAAACACAAAACTTCCTGAGAGCTAGTTTCAAGGGAGTAAAAAAATATAATCAGAAAGGAGTTAACCCAGGACTGCCACCACCCTTCAGATCAGATCCACCAACTGAGGTTTTGGGACTGTTTCCTCAATTCTTTGGTCTGCTTTGTTGCTGCAACTACCTTAACTTCTTTTTGCCTCTGATCTGCCCTGCTGCAACAGGGACGTTTGTTTTAGCAGCTCTAAGCAGCGCATTAGTGCTTGTCATTTGCTTAAAACCCTCTTTCTGCAGCAGTAGAGCACCATTTTTCCTCCAGCCTGCTCTATTCTCCAGTGCAACACAATGCCACGGTATGAGAATGACCCCGCAAAGCTGATAAAATATTTAAGACGCGTGTTCTGATTGTGTTAGGTAAGCAAATACCACAAGAGCCCGACCATTAGTGAACCTGATCAGCCCATTCCCCCAGGACTTGTGGCAAAACAAGCCAGAGCAGCCTGAACTAGAAGCAATGGGGCAGCTGCCTTCCCCAAAAGAGAAGGGAACTTAAAAGTGTATCTTGCAGAGGCTCAAGGAGTTTTCAACCTGAATACCCCACTCTAAAAGCAAATGATACAGATTTAGATATAGATGATATAGATATATCGATTTAGATATCCATATTGCGATATATACCAACATATAGATAGGCAGATATAGATGATATAGATATATAGATGCAGATGGTATCGATGTGTGCAAGTGTATGTGTGTATACAGCAGGTCAGCAGGTGTTTTCACGGGGCATTGCATTCAGCTGACAGCAGGGCAAGTTAAAAGAAAGAAAAATACTTGACATAACTGGCCAGTTCATGTAGGAAATTGGGTCAAGAAAAAATAAATAAAGGCAGAAACAGATTATTTTAAATCTGGGGCCCTCTGGATTATAGCGGATCACATAGGAAGACGGGAGGCTTTGTATGGAAGGACCCTATATCCTCCTCGCACTCTCTCTTTTGTGTCACTAATCATTTTCATTCTGTGTTATAAGGTGGCCGAGCCAATTCCAGCTTAGTAAAAGTTTTTCTTATCTTCAAGAAGCTGTGCTGCAAAGACAACACGTAGCTGTGGATGAGAAAAAGGAACCATTCGCAGCAGGACATGGCCATGGATTCCAGTTACAGGGTTGTGTTTGGTATCACAACACGGCCGTTGCTTTGGCTTGGGTTTTTTGTTGTCATCGTTTTGCTGTAGCTATTCCCTGCCCTTTGATCTAGAAGTTAAACTGCCAGAATTAAAGCTAAAGGCAGGCAGTTCTCACAAGCTGAGCGGGGAGGATGAGGGAGCGGTAGCTTTGCTTTTGTCAGGCTGCAATGGTGGCTTGCCTTTAGAGCCAAAGTTTCTATCATTCTGGAGTAGGTACCACCTGCACTGACTGACACCCCCGCTGCCCCTAATGCCCGCAATCCTCCTAAGCCCATCCTTGAAAACAGCAGAGGAACCATTATCCCCTGTGAAGATGTTCCTGCT